GCGCGGCCGCATGCGGATCCACTCGCTGGAGAACGTGGACAAGGCGCTGCAGTTCCTCAAGGAGCAGCGCGTGCACCTGGAGAACGTGGGCTCGCACGACATCGTGGACGGCAACCACCGCCTCACGCTGGGCCTCATCTGGACCATCATCCTGCGCTTCCAGGTAGCCGCCGCGTCGCCGGTGCCCGCGGGACCGGCTGCCGCGGGGCGGCCGTGCGGCAGTGCCCTTGTCCCCCGCCCTTCTCCCCAGATTCAGGTGATCAAAATCAAGACCGAGGACAATCGGGAGACGCGCTCGGCCAAGGACGCGCTGCTCCTCTGGTGCCAGATGAAGACAGCGGGGTGAGGACCGGTGCCCGCGCCCATCCCTGGCATGGTCCTCGTCCCCGCTGAGCCCCGGCTCCCCGCAGGTACCCGGAGGTGAACATCCAGAACTTCACCACGAGCTGGAGAGACGGCTTGGCCTTCAACGCCCTCATCCACAAGCACAGGTCCAGCATGGAGCAGCCAGCGGGCTCTCCTGGATGTCGGGGTCCCCTTTGCTTGTCGGGGTCCCCTTTGCTTGTTTGCAGCCGGACACACTCGCCTTATCTCCCCCTCGCAGGCCGGACCTCATCGACTTCCACAAGTTGACCAAGTCCAACGCCACCTACAATCTGCAGCAGGCCTTCAACACAGCCGAGCAGCACCTGGGGCTCAGCAAGCTGCTCGACCCTGAGGGTAGGGAGCGCGATGTCCCCTGCTCGGGGGAGCTGAAAGCGGGGCGTTTTGGGGGTTCTGAGGCATCGCCACCCCTCAGACGTCAACATGGAGGACCCCGACGAGAAGTCCATCATCACCTACGTGGTCTCCTTCTACCACTACTTCTCCAAGATGAAGGCGCTGGCCGTGGAGGGCAAGCGCATCGGGAAGGTGAGACCACGCGCCCGGCTTGCCCATGCCCCCTTGGCGTGTGGGGCTGAGCCCTCTTGTCTCCCCTCCATCCCAGGTGCTGGACCAGGCCATGGAGATCGAGGGCATCATGGAGCGCTACGAGGCGCTGGCAGCCGAGCTGCTCGCCTGGATCCAGCACACCATCGCCATCATCAGCAACCAGAAGTTCGCCAACTCCTTGGCCGGCGTCCAGCAGCAGCTCCAGGCCTTCACGGCCTTCTGCACCCTGGAGAAACCCGTCAAGTGAGCGGGACCCGGGTGGTGGGACGGCCACCAGAGTAGGCGCCAGTGCCCAGCAGGAGTTGTGGTCCTGCAGGTTCCAAGAGAAGGGCAACCTGGAGGTGCTGCTCTTCACCATCCAGAGCAAACTGCGGGCCACCAACCGCAAGCTCTACGTGCCCAGCGAGGGCAAGAGCATCTCCGACATCAACAAGGTGCCCCTGGGGACACGGGGCCTCGGGTCCCCTGCCCTGGAGCCCTTCTGCAAGCCCAATGCGTGCTCCACAGGCATGGAGCTGCCTGGAGAAGGCCGAGCACGAGCGGGAGGTGGCCCTGCGGCACGAGCTCATCCGCCAGGAGAAGCTGGAGCTGCTGGCGCAGCGTTTTGACCACAAAGCGGCCATGCGGGAGACGTGGCTCAATGAGAATCAGCGCCTCGTGTCGCAGGTGGGGTGGGACCGAGGCTGACGGGACCTGCTTGGGCTTCCCCATCTCTATCCACCCCGTCCCGACCGCCTGCTCCATCGCCAGGACAACTTTGGCTACGACCTGCCGGCGGTGGAGGCCGCCATGAAGAAGCACGAGGCCATCGAGGCCGACATCTCCTCGTACCAGGAGCGCATCCAGGTGGTGGTGGAGCTGGCGCTCGAGATGGAGTCCGAGGGCTACTACGACACCAAGCGCATCGGCGCCCAGAAGGACAACATCCTGCGGCAGTGGGGGCTGCTCACGGAGCTGCTGGCCGCCCGCCGCGCTCGCCTCGAGCAGAACCTGGCCCTGCAGAAGATCTTCCAGGAGATGGTCTACATGATCGACTGGATGGAGGAGATGCAGGTGGGGCCAGTGCGGGGCACGGGCCCCAGCAGTGCTCCAGGGCGGCTACGGAGCTTGCGACCACCTGGGACCTGTGTCCTCCTTCCATAGGTGCTGCTGCTCTCCAAGGATTTAGGGAAGCACCTGCTGGAGGTGGAGGATCTGCTGCAGAAGCAGGCGCTGCTGGAGGCTGACATCGCGGCGCAGAGCGAGCGCGTGCAGGCGCTCAACGCCGCCGCGCTCCAGTTCTCCGAGCTGGAGGGTAACGCGGGGCGCGTCCGAGCGGGGCTTGGGTCCCCTTGCAGTCCCCACCGCTCACCACCCGCCGTCCCCGCCAGGCTACCAGCCGTGCGACCCGCAGATCATCTGCAACCGGGTGACGCACGTGCGCACGTGCCTGGAGGAGCTGGGCGAGCTGGCGGCCAAGCGGCGCGCGGAGCTGGACGAGTCGCGGCGCCTCTGGACCTTCCTGCAGGAGATGGAGGAGGCCGAGGCGTGGATGCGCGAGAAGGAGCGCGTGCTGGCGGCCAAGGCGCGCGGGCGCGAGCCGCGCGGCGTGCTGGCGCTCAGCAGCGAGCACAAGGCCATGCTGGCCGAGCTGGGCAGCCGGCGGGCGCTGCTGCACC